CGTTTTATGGAATCATACTGTCTGTGAATTTGATTTTTTGCTTTCTAATCCTTAGGCCTTTTACCTATTTCGTTTTGCTTAACTCCATATAGTTAATTTATGAAAGTGGCAATTCTAGTCTTATTCCCATTCTCAGAGAAACCATTTTACCACTAAGTTATTTGTTGTAGGTTTTTTGGGGGGCTTATTTATTTTTTAAATAAATAAGTTAAAAATTAAGAATGTTCCATTCTGTTCCTAATTTGTTAAAAGTTTTTCTCAGGAGCAGATGTTGAATTATCAGTGCTTTTTCTGTTTCTATTGGATGATCATATGACTTTTCTCCTATTTTCTGTTACTGTGGTTAACTGTACAATTTTTACAGTGATTTATTATATATCTGATTTGCTGATATTTTGGTTAGGGTTTCTTTTGCATATATGTTTATGAGTGATGTGAGTTTTTTGTAATGTCTTTGTTAGGTCTTGGTATCAAGGGTACGCCTGCCTCATAAAAAGTTGAAGAATGTTTGCTCATTTTCTGGTTCTCTGGAAGAGGTGAAGTAAGGATTGTATTATTTTTTCCTTAAATGTTTTGTAGAACCACAGGTGAAACCATCTGGGCTGATAATTGTCTGTGAAGAAAAATTTTAAGTTAGGATCTCCATTTCAGATTTTCAGGGCGGGTGGCTTAGTCGGTTAAGCGTCTGCCTTTGACTCAGGTCATGACCCCAGGGTCCTGGGATTGAGCCCTGCATAGGGTTCCCTGCTCAGCGGGGGAGTCTGCTTCTCTCTCTCTCTCCACCCCCTGCCCCTGTGCATGCTCTCTCTCAAATAAATAAAATCTTTTAAAAAATGTTTAAAAAAATTTCAGATTTTCTTCTTTTGTCAGTTTTAGTAACATCTTTCTAAAACATCATCTAAAATTTTCAAAATTTTTGAATATAGTTTTTTGGTAATATTCTTTTATCTTTTAATGTTCTCTAAGATCTGAAAATGCTCTTTTATTCCTGATGTCTGATATGTTTTCTTTCTTAATGCATCCTACAAAGACTTAATCATTTTTGTTTGTTTTATAATAATTAACTTAGGATCCTTTAGTGTACTATATGATTCTTTCCTATTTCAGTAATTTCTGTTTTTTTCCCTTTCTTCTTGTTTGGATAATTTGTTCTTCCTGTAACTTCTGATATGCTTATCTAATTAAGTTTTAGAATTTTTTTCTAAAATGTGTATTTAACACTATATATTTTTTCATAAACATGGTTTAGCTACATTCCACAGCTGTATTTTCATACACCATTCATTTAAAATATATGCTCTGATTACTATTAAGATTTCTCCTTTGACCCATGTAAGTATTTAGAAGGGAATCAATTACCAAACACATGGAGATTCTCATTATTTTTTTGTATTGATTACTAACAACATTGCATTATGGTCAGAGATCACAGCCCATATGGTCCTTTGAAATTTGTTGAGATTGGCTTTTGATCCTTTGAAATGCATTATGATTTGCTTTATAGATTTTATTTGAAAAAGGCTTCTGTAAAAAAGAAAGTGTCTTCTCAAATTGTTGGGTGCAATGTTCTAGATCTTGCCATTAGGTCAGATTAATTGTGTTCAGATCTTCTATAACCTTATTTTACTGTCTGCTTCTTTCATAAGAAGGATGTTTTGAAATTTTACATAATAATTATGGAATTCTCCGTTACTTATTTTGAAGCTATATTGTCCAGGGGCCTTAAAATTGTTAAACCTACCTGGTAAATCAAATTTTTCATTTTCAAGTGTCATTTATAATTTTCACTGTGTTTATCTCTGGTAATACTTTTTACCTTAAAGTTTCCTTTCTCTGATATTAGTGTAACTTCTGTAGGTTCTTTCGGTTAATACTTGCACTGTATATCTTTTTCTGTTCTTTTGTTTTTAATCTTTCTATGCTTTTGCAGTTAAAGTAGGTTTGGTTTTCTATCCTTTCTGATGTTTTGTGGACGTATAGTTAGGTTTAATCCTTTACCACCTGTTTTATTAGGTTTCTTTTCCTCTCCTCTTTTAGAATCTTTTGGGTTATATTTTTATCGTTCAATTTCCCCACTCTGTTGGAAGTTACAGAGTCTTTTGCTTTTCTCTTAGTTGTTATCCTGACCTTTGCAGCAGGCAGCTGACTTACGAAAGTCTAATGTCTAGTACCTTCACTCTCTTTTTGGACAGCACAAAATTCTTAGTATATTTTACTCTCGTCCTGACTTAAATCCTATTGCTGTGTATTCTATTGTGGGTTTTTTTTTTTTTTTAGATTTTATTTATTTATTTGACAGAGACACAGCGAGAGCAGGACCACAAGCGGGGGAGTGGGAGAGGGAGAAGCAGGCTTCCCGCGGAGCAGGGAGCCCGATGCGGAGCTCGATCCCAGGACCCTGGGATCATGACCTGAGCCGAAGTCAGATGCCTAATGACTGAGCCACCCAGGCGCCCTCTGTATTCTGTTGTTTTAAACTCAAGGAGATGCTATTACCATTTTATACAATCAGTTTCCTTTTACCCACAGATGCTTCTCTTAGGTTGCTCTTCATTCTGCCCTACATTGTGGAGCTTGTATCTAGGATGATTTTGTTGTCTGAAGAATACCCTTTAACGTTTCCTTTGTGTGGGTCTGCTGGTGACTCATCCTTAAGTGTTTGTTTGGTGATGTGTATAACTGATTGTGGTTTTTTGGAGTCATTCTTAAGTCTGTGGCTTGATGTCTTTCCTCAGTTTGGGAAAATAATTTGGCCTTAACACCTTCAGATTTGATTACTGCCCGTTTCCTTGGTATTTTCCAGCTGTCTTACTTTTCCATGCTTCATTCTGGATATTTTTACTTCGACCTATCTTCCATTGTAGCAAGTCTCTTTGAGTTTATTCTAATCTGTTAAAACTATGTCTTGAATTCTTAATATTGAATTTTGTATTTTTTTCAGTTCTAGAATTTACATATTGTTTATTTTTATAGCCTCCAGCTCTCGTCACATTCTTGATTCTGTCTTTTATCCTTGAACAGAGCAGCATGTCTGTCTGGTACCTGCAGTAGTTGGAGTCTGTGTTTGTCTCCGCTGACCTGGGACTGGGGTTTCTTGCAGGTTTTCACTTAGGTGATGCTGTGTTGTACCTGAGTATTTTAACTTATGTGTCAGTCACTATATTTTACAATTATTTTAGAAATAATGCAAGGCCTAGTATAATGTCTTCTTCCAGGGAGGATCTTGGGTTTGCTTCTGCTGGGGGACAGAGAAGCCCTAGCAAGTTGGGGTCCCTCTGACCCCAGTTTTGCTGACTGATCTCTTTGAAGCAGGGCTGCAGCTCCGGGAGGCTGTCAACCTGTGACTCCCTCAGTCTTCAGGCGCAGCTTTGTGTGCTAACCCGAAGAGGGGGTTCACACGATTACTGTCCCCGTAGCCCTGGAGTTTGGTGAGAAGAGTAGCTCTCAGCCAGCCCTCCGGAACTGTCAACCCTGTCTCAGGGCAGAAAAGACCCAAATGTCTGTCTCCCCACTGGTCCAGCCACTCGCCCTGCTCCTGTTCACACTGCCTTGTAGCAGATGGTTTTGGTATTTTGTCCAGCTTCCTCGGGTGGACCTCTGTAGTCGGGTTGGCCCCCGATCACACAGTCCGGCATTACTCGAAGTGAGAGTCTGGCCCTTCCATTTTGTGTCTGATTTTATGGGTAGTTGTGTGCATCTAATGAGTGAAAAATGTTTGGTATAATTTGCATTTCCTTGATAATTAGTAAGGTTTCGCATCTTTTCATATATTTATTGGCTGTTTTCTTTTGTCTGTTTATCGGGTTTCACACCTCCGTTGGGAAGTACCCTCTTCCAGACAGATCTCGCACTTGACGCCTTGGTGCTGGCTGACTGTGATGGCTGCCGCTCTCCGTCTCCCACATGGGTTTTAGCCGGTGTTACATAGATACTTTTTATCCTTGGGAATTCAGATCTGTCAGTCTTTTCTGACTTGTCTTGTAATGAGGACACAAATATTTTATACTTTATGTTTACCTCCTTAATTTGGACCGAATTTTTTGTGTGTTTTGTGAAATACCTGATTTCGTAGCCAAACAAACCAAGTGTAGAAGAGGTTTTGCGCGTCTCAAAAGAGCCACCACCGGCCTGAGGCGCCTTGCACAGCTGTGCGCGGGGAAGGTGGGGCCTGGCCGTTTCCTTGGGGTGGGAGTCGGAGGAAAGGGCTACAGGGAGGGTGAGACGGACCTGTCCGCGGATGGGGATGGGGATGGGGTGGGGCGGTGACAACCCGGAGCCCATTGCCTTTTTTGTAATTAGTTTATTTCTGTAAAAGGGAGAGCTATTCAATCTAAAAAATTCAAATAATCACGTGAACCGTCAAAGAAGGGGGAAGATGCCCCAGACTCCTCACCAAGGTGCCGCCTTCCAGAGCCTGTGTGTGTCCGCCGTGCCGGTGGGCACACACGGCCTCATGCGTTGGGTCCCGCAGAGCACGCCGTGTGTGCTTTGTGCCGGCGGCCCTGGCGGATGTGCCTGTGGGCTGGTGCGCGCACGTGCTCAAGCCTGGTGTTGAGAGCCACGGTGCCTGGGTTTGAACCCAGGCTTGCCGTCACTGGGTGGTGCTGAGCGGACCAGCTGTGGGCCACTCTGGGGATGAAGTGAGCGCACACGGAGCCTGGCAGCCCTCCATCCACGCAGCGTCCCTCGTGGTGGCGGTGCGACCTGGGCAGGCCCCGCTGGGTGTGTGTGGAGCGGAGCTGGCCCAGCACCATCAGGGTGCCCAGCAGCCTGGTAGCCCAGGTAGCGGAAGTCCGAGCTGGCAGACTGGCTGCTTTGTTGCAGACAAGCCTGCATCCTAACGTTTGGAGTCGGGGTCCGCATGCTACCTGCAGTGAGAGGTCAGGGCCGGGCTGGCCTGGGGCTTTCTCACGCACCCCTGGCTCTGTAGCTGGTTCCTGGACTGGGCCGGGGCGGGGGGGCGGGTGCGGTCCTGGAGCTGACCTCTCCGTCCCCCGTAGGTTCAGCAGTACCGGGTGGCCATGACTGCGAAGGACTGCTCCATCATGATCGCGCTCTCCCCCTGCCTGCAGGACTCAAGGTGAGCTGCCTGCTGCACGCCCATGCCCGTGGCCCTGCAGGGCCACGTCTGCTGACATGCTGATGCCCGTGGCCCGCATGACACCTAGTAACCCGCCACGGCTTGCTGACTCCCACTGCTCTCTAGAAGTGTGTGATTCAGTTGGAAAGACATTTACGGAGAATAACTTAAAAAGACTGTCCTGTTAAAGATTACTATGATTTTCTAAGAAAATACTCCACCAAAGACTTAGAAGCAGCTTGGATCCTGGTACAAATTCCTTTCTCTCAAGGCCCCACGTGCCAACCGAGGCTCGGAGGCCTGAGAAGCTGCAGATCCCCCACCAAGGTCCCGGCCCTCGTGCGCCTGTGGGACAGCATGTCCGCCGTTGCGCTTCCTGTCCTGTTGGCAGCCGCTCTCCCTGGACATTATCATCCTTATCCGGTCCCCTCCCCTGCCTTTTTTTAGGAATTCAGGATGAACCTGATAATCTTCTCTTGCTAATTAGATGGCATCTTCAGCATTGATCCTCAGGGTGCCAAACCCCACACACAGTGTTTGTGGAATGTTCCACATTCTTCTGACATGTGTTCCCGGGTCAAGATGACCTTATCGTTGGCTGCCAGCCACCCGTTTTTCAGATGCTTTTGAACTAAACATTCCCAGGACTGCTGCTCCCTGGCAGGCATGGAGCGGATAGGAAACACGGAGGGATGTTCGTAGGGTGCAACTGAAATACAAAAAGGCTGTTCTGTTTAGTTGAGGACCCCTGTGATCCCATGAGCAAGTGCCTGCAGTGCGTGTTCACTGGATTGAGCTGGCCTTGTCCCATGGCAGAAGCATACGGATGTCACCCACTGCCCTTCCTGAAACAGGCACACACTCAGGAATGTGCAGGGCTGGCCGGCTGCTTGGCAGGCGCAGACGGGGTGGGGCGGGGGTGCATGGCCCGGGAGCCCCGTGGCGCGGTGCAGAAGCGTTTCAGCTTCGGAGCTGTGCCCTGGGCTCACGGGAGCTTGTGGTGGGCACACAGGCAGCCCGTGTGCCGAGCGACACCCCTCTGTGTGGGCATCACCTTGTCAGGTGCCGGCTCGGTGGGGGAAGCCTGCTGGGGGCCAGAGAGGTGCTGTCCCGGCCCTGCTGCCTGGAGCTCAGGCCTCAGAAGCGGGACCTTCACTACTGTTCGGGAGGGAGTAGCTATGACCTAGCAGCTGAGCCAGGGCTCCGTTTTCCCTGGAGAGAGGGAGGGTATTTCGGGGCAGGAGTGAAGTGAGGGTCTCGGCCTTGATTAGCTTCATCACAACGGGAGCATGTTGATTGGTCTTCCCCTCCCAGGCAGGAGCTTTTAAAATTCGTGTTGTTTTGGGATGCTTTCTAAATCTAGAAGAGTAGTAAGCGTGGGGAAACTGGGACTCGTATTTTTCTTGGGCTAAACTAAGTATCATATATTTAACCAGTTGTTGGATGTGGAATATTACCAAGCACTCTGAGAGCTGAGTGGGATGGATACACAGCAATTTTAATAGAAAATTCAGAATTAGCCTCAGAGTGGTTGGTTTTAGTACAGATAATTGTTCATTTTCTGTTATAAGCACATGACTGTTCTGATGTTTAGAAAACCCACAGAATGAAGCCTTAAGAACAAAACATCAAAACCTGCAGATTAGATTTGAGACTAGAGCATGAAATCAGCTCTCTCCAAACGTGAAGAGCCTCAGGGAACACAGGCTTCTCAGCAGATGTGGGAAAAGGCGGGTGAAGGGAAGTCTGCTCCATCGGGTTGAGGAAAGGCCAGGTCGACTTTCTCCTTTCTCTCAGGGTTAGTGATTCCTGATTCCTGGTCAAGTGCCCCCAGGAACTAGGGGACACCTGCCAGCCCTCCCGTCCGTGTGGTGGCGGGTGTCACGGCGGGCCTGGGCGGGGTGCACGCCCTGCGCAGGGTGAGGATTTGGGTATTTGGGGTTCATGTGTCCTGAAGCTGCTCTTTCACTTCCAGCTCCGATCAAAGGCCTGTCGTCCCTTCTTCGAGATCCAGGTTTGCTTTCTCCGTGTCTGTGCTGGACCTCGACCTCAAGCCGTATGAGAGCATTCCTCACCAGTACAAACTGGACGGCAAGATAGTCAACTTCTATTCAAAGACTGTACACGCCAAAGATGCAGCTGTGATGTCGACCAGGTTCAAGGAGAGTGAGGACTGCACGTTAGTTCTCCATAAGGTCTAGGTGCTTCCTGCGGGGTCTTTGAAACTTGAACACAGAATGTGAAGGTTGAATGAGAGAGCTCTTTTCTGTTGTGTTGGGTGACCTTTGGCTGTGAATGTTTTTGCTTTTTAACCCGTGTTCAGGTGGGGCTGCGTCTGGGTGACCCCGAATGGAAGGCCACCAGAAACACTTTCGAGGACGAGGAGCGCTGGGCGTGAGTGCTGCTGCGTGCGGTGTCCCCACGCCTTCCGCTCTGGGCCGCGCCTCCTCCCCACCCAGGGCTCATGTCTAATCTCTGATGTAAAAGCCTTAAGACCCAAGGTTTGGATCTCCTACCACCAGACTCTAACATAGAAAACTTGAATTGTCGCGTACATCTTACAGTTTGGACTTGAAGGAAAACATGGATACTACTGGAACTTTCCCAGCTGAGTTATGTGGTCACTTTTTCCGTGCGGGCCACCAGGCAGCACAGGTTTAGTGGGCTCTCTGCTGCAGAGAGCGATGGGTGGCTGGTGCGGATGTGGGTCCTGAGCTGCGTGGACTCGGGGTCTCTGTGGAGGTGCCATGGCCACCGCTCTGCACAGGGTCATCAGGGAGCACGGGACTCAGGTCAGGGGTGGACACCACTCACTCGAGTGCTGACTTTCTTTTTAGCTGAATGATTTTATCTTTGACTTTAGGGGAGACGAGGCGTTCCTTGCCACGTGCAGTTGCTGCTGCGGAGCTGGTGTCAGGGCGGCCGTGCGCCAGGCATTCTGGGTGTGTGTTTGGGGAAGGCGCCAGTGTGGCGTGCTCCCACAAGATGAGCGACTTCTGGCTGGCACCAAGAGGGTTCTCGTTGGGTCACTGTAGGTGTGCCCGGCTGCTAAGAAAACTGTGGGGAATCTTGGCTTCGGTTTTTTATTCTATGGTAGGTTGTACAGATTATTTATATCATTGTTTTGAGGGACTAATGAAGGTTTATTGTAACATAAGATTATAATAGCAAAACCACGGAATTGTATGAAAATGCTACGTGAAAAATAATATTTTGCTGATTGATGATTGTAAATTTTTGTGGGGAATTTTGTGATAACTTGAGAATTATACTTGTTTGAATCAAGCCAGCTCTCCTAGAATTTATTCAGCTTTGTCCTAACATTTGCTTTTTGCACACTCGGAGGTTCAGAAAGATACTCAAATGACACGTGTCTCATCCGTGTGCATTGGGGGGCTGTGGAGACGCCCCTCGCAGGGACACGTGTGGAAGCATCTGTGTTGTTTTGGCCTGAGGTCGTTCCTTGTTGCTGGCCTGCGTGAGGATGGGTGTGCACAGGACCCCGGCCCTGCCAGGAGGTGGGTCAGGCCACCTCCCAGGCCCGTGCTGGCTGAAAGCACCAGCATCCACACGGGGAGCATGCGGACCGACGCGGTCCTGCCCCGTGTGGTCTCCGCCTCACACCCCAGGGTGGCCCCTTCCCTGACTGTGGTTTCAAGCAATGTTTCTACCGATTCTAACCTTTTAAATGGGGCAGCTGAGGCCAGTGCTGCCCAAGGGGTGGGGGTGGGGGTCAAGTCTATATTATTGCATTTTTTAAGCTGACTGCTCCACTTTCATGTGAAGGCCAAGAAGAGTGAGTTCTGCTCTACAGGGCAGGGTGGCAAGGTGGGCAGTGCGCCACCCCGGTTTCAGGAATGTTAAGGAGTGGGGCCCTCGGGTGGCAGGGGGAGGACCAATCTCTAGGACACAGGACGCCTCCACCCTCAGACTTGGTGAGAGGTAGGACTGGCCGCTCCCCCCAATCCAAGGATGGACACTCACTCCTATTATTAAAAGAATAATAACCTTAACTTTTGAGAAAGTTTTTTTTTTTTTTTTTAAGTAATCTAATCTATGCCCCCAGTGTTGGGCTCGAACTCATGACCCTGAGATCAAGAGTTGCACACTCCCCCAACCAAGCCCGCCAGGCCCCCCCTAAGCACTGTATGTGCTGCTCGTCTGGCATTTTGTATTCCAATAGCTGTGTTTATTTTTCCATGTCCCGACAGTTTATATAGGATGTGCTGAAACTGCACAGACATGTCCAAAAGGTGTTGTTTCTCTGTGGAACACAGAAACTGTTTATGTGGAAGAAGATCACACACCTGTGTGTTTGCCTGGAACTAGTTGTAGTCCGCTGTGCAGAGCGACTGTATCAGGCTCTCGAGGGCGGCTTCAATGCCCAGTGTGCCCAGCAGGGCTCGGAAGCTGAGAGGCGCGGTCTCCAGGGCTCGGTTCTGGTCCAGCTTCAGGGCTGCAGGGAGAGCAAGCCAGCTGAGACTCTACACTGAGACCTTCCCTCCTTCCCAAACTGTCGTGACAGTGGGCACAGACCCACACGCCAGAGGTGGGGACGGAACAGTCCCTCCGCGCCTCTGCTTTCTGATTCCTGATAAACTGATAAAAACGATACAGTGAGATTCTCAACTTTTGATTCTTGCTATGAAAACCAGATGACAGAAGCAGGCGTCTGTTGGGCACAGTAAGAAGTCCTCACACCCCCACCCTGGGGGCCCCTACCTTGCTGTGGCGCTTTGGGTAGAAGATCCAGCTTCGGCAAAACCTTCCCTTCTTCATCTATCTGCACCCTCCAAACGATGACCAGCTCGAACCTGAAAGAGGTAAGATGGCGTTCCTAAGTGCTGTTTCAAATCGGGTGGGAAGTGTGAACTGTGTGGCACCTGTCACCCTCCCTGAGGAGGTGCTCCTGAAGACGTCTGGCCATGGACACATGCCACGTCTGCTCAGGGAAGCACATGGGACATGAACGAAGAGGGAAATGGACCCCAAGACCCAGCAAGATGCTGTTCTGTACCCATAGTGTGGTGGTGTGGCCGTGCGGGAGACGTACAGGATGCAGAAAACCTGCCAGTGCGGACCCTGAACTGTGATAAAGTAGTCTGAAAAGCTTTGGCAGTGATGGGAGGCTGAATCCATCCCATGACCCAGGAATTTCACTTCCAGCCAGAGAAGCCTGGGTCCTCGAGTGTCCGGGGACATGGACAGGAGCGTGAGAAATAGTGGAAAACGATGGATGACCCAAGTGCCCAAGACCCGAAGAAAGCAGAAATACAGCTGATGGAGTAGAACCACCGAGAATGAATGAACTGCATACAGCTACGCACATAACCAGAAGCTCACTTCGGCTATAATGTTGAGTAACAAAGGCAAGTCTGAGAGGCCTACAGAATTACAGCACCATTTTAAGATTTGAAAACAAAGCACTCTAGGCATTCTGATGCAGACCGTGCACACACACAGCCCAGTGAGTCCTCCCTTCACCCAGTGCTTGCTGCCTCCCGGCCTGTGCTGAGGCCAGCCCCTCAAGACAGAGCTCCAGCTCTTCCTGGCCTCCCCTTGGCTCCCTCCAGCCCTGCAGTGAGCCCAGCAGCCCTGGCCGTTTCCCCATGTCCCACACCCTGCTCTCCTCCCCACAGCTGCAGAGCCAACACGGCTCACAGACACTTCAAGGTGTCCGGAAGGTAGCTGCCTTTCGTTGTCTACCATTTGCAAGCCTCGTTTTGAACAGCAAGCTGCCGTCTGCGTGTTGGGGAGGCCGGGCCTGCAGGGCATCCGCACTCACCCTGGCTGGCAGGTGCTCCGGACCGCCATGCAGCTGGAGGCGGCCCCCTCCGGGAGGTGCACGGCTGCTGGGTACTTCTCCTGTGGGCGAGGAAGCGGGTACAGGAAAATCAGGTGACGGAACAGAAGCCAGGAGCCCTCATGAAGGGCCTCAGGTGGCGGGTGTCCCGGTAGTTCGGCCTCACGGCACCCTGGCTGAGACAGGGAAACGAAAGGCTCCACAAAAACCTGCTCCGGGCTCCTTGTCTTGCTGCTTCGGGTGTTAGGACCTGCGCCCCCAGTTTATACAGGCCTCAACGCAGCTGCTGTCTGCCCTGCTTGTATGGGACCAGGACTCAGCGGTTTCTCTAGAAGAGACCGCCATCAAAGGCAGGACCAGGTGAGGACTGGAAGCCATCGCGTGGGTATTCCAGACCTCCAGTGCCAGACACCTCGACGCCAAGGCATCCTGGCTCCGAGGAGTAACAGCTGGGCCCTCGTCTTTGTTCTCACGCTTCCTGGATGCCTGAGGGGACATGTACACCAGACCACCGTCCTCAGTAAAAACCCCCCAGGCCCCAAACAAAGACGAGACTCCCTCCCTTCCTTTCCACGTCTCCCAGCTGTAAGTTCAGTAAACTCCGCGCTCACCTCCTGCTGGCTGGCTCACGTTTGATTTCCATCTTGCACACAGCCAGGGCCCCTCTTGGCTGGTCCTGCGGGAGCGCCTCTGGGGTCTCAGACCCGGCCACCCCACTCCTGCCTCCTATGTTCACTGGTGCTGCCTGTTCTAGATCTTTCCACTGCCCCACGGCCCTCATGTGCCCACACCCTCTACCTCTCAGTGTTAGCAGGTTAGAGAAGAGCTTCATCCCGATTTCACCTGTTTGTCCCCCAGGGCTCTCCGGCCTTTGGCCACACTGCCTCCCTAGACCCCTCTGCTCTGGGGTGGCCCCTCCGTCTGTCCTGTTCTCGAGACCTGGGTGGCCTGAGAAGGCCAGTCACACATGCTCTGCAGTGCTCCTTGCAACTCACCAAGGTGATGCTCGCCCTGACGACCGGTGCTGCCTGCCGGGATGCTTACTGCTGTTCTCTGGAGCTTTAGCATTTGGCCTTAAAAGCCCTTCGAACTGCGGCCCCTGGGCAGGCCCCTGCCATGGTGTCCATCCTCACACTGGCCGCCCAATGGCTCCTGCCCATCTGCATGTCGGGAGCAGGGCCACTGGGGGCCCCCCATGACCTCTCCGTCAGTCTCCCCCAGAAGTGTGCCTGGCCACCCTGGCTAACAGGGTCTTGGGGAGCATGCTCCGCCAAGCCAGCTTCACGTGGAGATCACATGCCATTTTAGAGTCAAAGGTATTCTCTCTCAAAGAGGGAGATGAAGTGGGATTTCAAAGATTTCTAGGTTTGCAACTCTAAGGTAGGGTTGGCTTTCCCCTCCGCCTAATATTGTAGAAAAATCTGTCTTCCTGTTCCTCGAAGCAGAACTGACACCTGAACACACACCTGACTCTGAGGTCTGCTCTCCGGGGAGGGGACTGTAGGGCTGGGGGAACGGCAGTGAGCCTGTGGGCTCTGGGGCCAGTGTCTGAGACACATCTCCTCTCCCTCCTCCCACCGTGCTTGGTGTAGAAACAGACACCCGGGCTGATGCTGAGGTCAGATGCGAGTCCCGCCGTGTCCCACGTGGAGCCTCCCGGGACAGAGGGGCAGGGCTAGCGCTGTGGGTGGCAGAACCCGGGGCTTCAGAGGACAGGACCTTCCTGAGGACATAAGTACTCGGTGGGCAGAACCCAATCAGCCCCAAGAAGGAGGTCTTGTAGGGACAAAGACGTGTCACAGCTTCTAAAGGGCCAGTGCAAAGATCAACCTCTGCTGCCAGTGTGTGAGGCCAGTGCTCCCAGACCCACATGTGAGAGATGCCGACAGAGCAAGATCGTGTCCAAACACCAAGCTGTTCTGACCAAGTGCTGGGCTCGGCCTGGTTTAGGCTTACAGACAGTTTCTAATTTCAGCCAAACTGTGTATGAGAAAATGTATACCTAAGTGTTTTAAATGGAAAGTGCTGGTTGATTTTTAAACCTCAAGCTCTTCTAAATTAATAACAGCTGTAGCTGAGCCGCGCACAGGGACACGTGAGCACGGCAGGGCAGCTCCCAGGCTGTGGGGCGGCCACCTGAGGCCGGGGCCGGCTCCAGTGTGGGGCCCGGGGGTGCAGACTCGCTGCAGGCTCAGCCTCCAGGTGGACCTCACAGCCTGGCCAGGCCTCCTCACAAGCAAAACGAGGGTTTAGATAAGAAGCGTTCACTAAAAGATATGCTTCCTCTAGTTTAAAAACAAACATGGCGCCTGGGTGGCTCAGTTGGTGAAGCGTCTGCCTTCGGCTCAGGTCATGATCCCGGGATCGAGTCCCGCATCGGGCTCCCTGCTCTGCAGGGAGTTTGCTTCTCCCTCTGACCTTCCTCCCTCTCATGCTCTCTCTCTTTCTCTTTCTGATAAAATCTTAAAAAACAAACAAAAAACAAGTAGAAGTGCTGACATTAGGAAGAGGTCTGGAGAGCTCTTTGAGGGTGTGGTAAGTCGCCTTTTACACAAGGTAGTGACACGGCCCGTGTATCGACTTCTCTCGCGCTCAGCGCATAACACACAGCAGGGGCGAGAGCACAGAGCAGAGCCCACAGACCAGCGGTGGTGACCAGACACGCAGCGTGCGGGTGAGGCCGCGGTGTGCAGGGGGTGCTGCGGGAGAACAGAGACGTTGTGACATGGGACGCAGCTCTGAATGCAGACGAGCACATTTCAACAGTAGTTAGAAGTTTTATGTATGACTCCATCTGATGGGGGGTATCGTTGGGAAGCCCGGGAACGAGCTTAGGGATGTGGGTGCTCTGCACATGCGGGGCGTTAGCCTTCCACAGGAAGCCTGTCCTAAGTGGTGATTCAACACGGGTGTTTACCCAGCTGCTTGCCACAAGCCTTGGGGTCTGCATTCAAGAACTTCCCTGGTGTCCGTGCGGAAGTGGTGGTGACCGGGGGGACGCTGGTTTGGGGTCAGACCCTTTCACTCTGGAGATTCGCTTTGCTGTTGAAGTGGCTGCTGGTCCAAAGGGAACAGAATTTGTAAGAGCACTGGAGAAAAACCAGCCTTGCGTTTTCGCGCCCATGATACCAGGCCTGTGCCGAAGGGAAAGGGACCAGGCACCCTGCCTGCCTCCCACTCACACGATTGGGAAACCTTGCATCCCGAGCTTAAATGCACCCCTGAGTGTCCACAGTTAATTCATCTTGACTTTATGTCTGGCTGATTCAATGATTTTTTTTTAAAAATTGAGATATAATTCACATAACACTCCTTTAAAGTGTATGTAATTCAGGGGTTTTAGTGTATTCACAAGGTCGTACAACATCTCTGCGGTCCAACTGTGGACGCCCTATTCTTTAGCTACTTGCCCCTTCACCCCTCTGTGCCCCCCAGGCAGCAGGCAGCGAGCATGGACCGACGGTCCACAGATGTCCCTGTTCTGGGCATTTCAGACAAACGGAATCATTCGAGATGTATATCTTGTGTGACTGGCCTCTTTGACTTGCACGTTCAGGCTGTGAGCACGCGGCAGCCGGCGTCCATGCTCACTCCTTTGCGCGGCTGAGTAACACGCCACTGTTCATCCATTCATCAGCTGATGGGCACGTGGGGGTTCTTTGCTTTTTGGCTACTGGAAACAATGCTGCTGTGAACACGGGTGGGCACAGGTGTTCTCCTTCCTCATGGTTATGCGCCTGGGAGCAGCACTGCTGAGTCCTATGGGAAGTCCACGTAACCATGGAGGAACTGCCCAACTGCTGCCCATGGTGGCCGCCCGCTTTCATGATTCCATCAGCATTGTCTGAGGGTCCTGATTTCTCTTTCTCCTTGTTGATGTTTGTCATCACCCCCTCTTAGAAACTGTTCTTGTCCTCCTGCTGGGTGTGAGGTGGGAGGTCACTGTGGATTTGCATTTCCCTGATTTTCCCTGATGGCCACGGACGCTGAGCCTCTTCACATGTGTTCATTCATCGGCACACCTCCTCTGGAGAAATGTGTGTTCAGATCCTTTGCCTCATTTTTAAACTGGGCTATTTTCCTTTTTATTATTGAATTATAATAGTTCTTTATATAGTCTGGATACAAATCACTTGTCAGATAAATGGATTTCTCCCATTCTGTGGATTGTCTTTTTACTTCCTCACTGGCGTCACCTGAATACAGTTTTTAATTCTGATGAAGTCCAGTTTATCTGTTTTTGTTCTTTTTCTTGCTTGTGCTTTCGGTGTCATAGCTAAGAAACCAATGCTGAACCCAAGGTCACAGAGATTTACACCTATGTTTTTTTTAAGAGATTTATATTCTTAGCTTTTTTTTTTTAAGATTTTATTTATTTATTTATTTGAGAGAGAGAGAGAAACAGCAGGAGAGGGGAGAGGGTCAGAGGGAGAAGCAGGCTCTCCGCTGAGCAGGGAGCCCAATGCGGGGCTCGATCCCAGGACCCCGGAATCATGATCTGAGCCGAAGGCAGATGCTTAACCAACTGAGCCACCCAGGCGCCCCTGTATTTTTAGCTTTTAAAATTAGGTCTTTGATCCATTTTGAGTTAACTTTTGTAGATGATGTGAGGTAGGAGTCCACCCTCATTCTTTTGTCTAGGAATATTCAGCTGTCTTCATATCAAGTCGTTGAAAAGACTGTTCTTCCCCATTTAATTGGATCTGGTCATATTTTAATAACATCTTGTATCTGAAGAGAGTCTGGTCCAGAGTATGTGGGAGGTTTCAGGGGACAAAACACATCCCAGACTTTCCAGCAGATGTGCCGGGACAAGAATGTACAGATGTAGGAAAGTGAGCCTCCATGCGTACCACATACACAGAAATGGATCACAGATCTAAATCTAAGAGCTTAAAATTATAAAACTTATGAAAAATAAAAAAATCTTTGTAGTCCTGGATTAGCCAAAGATTTCTCAGGTACAAAACAAAAACTAGGATCCACAAAAAAATAAATTGGGTAACTTCATCAGAATTAGAAATGACCACTCTTAAAAAGGCCAGCCTCAGACTACATGTGA